TGATTGGTTTGACAAATTAACACTGTGGCCTAAGAAAATACATGTGTATTTTAGTTTGACTGCACTTTAAAATAACATTTTTTTGGTTTTTGGTTTTTTGTTTTTTTTTTACTTTAAAACGCAGTCAAACATGATCTAGTTTCATTTTAACAAAACTTAACAGATTGTTATAAACATGTATTCATGTCTAACAATGGTTTTATTAGTGTAAGGGCAAAAAGGAATTTGAAAAAAAATCTTAATCCTACTGATAAGCTTTGAAGGATACTCTCTTAAGACTCATTTAATTTAATTATATTTAATATAGCTCTGACTATACTATGTACTTGACTACTGACCAAGAACGCACTTTAATACCTTGTGGAGAAGCGGTTCCCAAATTCAAGCACAGTGAGTTTTGGAAAGAGTTGTTTTTTTATCATGTTTGCGATTGAGATTGCACTGCTGTTTCTTGTAAATGCTCTGTAAATAAGTGATGTGTTTATTACTGAGAATGAACCAAAGACGCTCTGACTCATTTTGAATGTTAAAAGCCAGAAGAACTGCTTCCGTGTGGCTTGCTAACCTCTCTTTATATCAAACTGCAGACCAAATGGGTTTTTTTTGCTCTGTTTACTTTCATGTCATTGCTGCTCAAACTTATCAGCTCAAATCAGGTATGCTTCCAATAAAATGCACCGTTTTCAATGGCTTTTATTTTTCAGTTACCATTGTGGCCACTACCATTAGTTTATTTATACTTCAAACACACAAAATACCGGGGAAGGGACGTATCATCACAAGAAGACAACACATGAAACCATACACACTATCCTCCCAGTCATCGCTCATGCATTCATCAGGCAGACTAAACATAAACATGGCCATTGCTACAAAACAAAGATCTCTCCATACCTTGTGACATCCATCCATCCATCCGCTTCCGCTTATCCTTTTCAGGGTCGCGGGGGGCGCTGGAGCCTATCCCAGCTGTCATAGGGCGAGAGGCGGGGTACACCCTGGACAGGTCGCCAGTCTGTCGCAGGGCTAACACACAGAGACAGACAACCATTTGCACTCACATTCATTCACACATTCACACCTAATGACAATTTGGATTATCCAATTAACCTATCCCCACAAGCTGCATGTCTTTGGATGGTGGGAGGAAGCCGGAGTACCCGGAGGGAACCCACGCAAACACGGGGAGAACATGCAAACTCCACACATGTGACATATGTCACACCTTGTGACATATGTCCTCCAAATAAAGACGTAGATTTGTGCCCTTTTCTAAAATAATTATCCGGTCTTCCCAATCATCTGAGAGATATCTTTTTAAATGCTATAGCTTGTGTCATCGCCACCAACAGTTCTTGATTAGTCTGGAACGGTATGGGATAAGAATCCCTACATCACCACAAATCATTTAAATAATTTCAAATACAGCACTGTGGGAAAGTCTTGAATCACCCCTCAAGATCTAAAGAATCAACAATGTCAAGGTGTGGCTGATTTTGATATCTCCAATTCAGTATCCAAAAATAAATGTGATTTTTTTTATTTTTTAAAGGGTCAGTCTTCTCTTTTGTTCTTAATTTATGGTGATGAGAAACAGGCAGAAAAGTAAACTGTTGGGCCAGAACCTCATGTCACAGTGAGCTTTAAACATGTAGTTATGAATTATGGCCAAAAGATCTTTTTAAAATAAAATACTTGGAAAGTCAGAGCATGCTGCCATTTGTCACTGAATTCCCAAATATGGCAGATATGAAAACACTCATTTAAGGGTGATCCCATACGAGCAGTGTGTGCAGTTGTATGCTGCAATTTACTACTAGCTGTGATGACAGTGAGAAGCTTTGCTGTAAGTGACCCTCATCTAGAAGTCTGCCAGGATCCAACGTCCCTGCACTTCGCCTGCAACACAGCTACCCAAAAAAAAAAAAAAAGTTCCTCATGCTTGATAGTAAAGAGGACTGAACATAAGGCAGTGTGCAATTATTCTTTATTCCCAAAATTAGAAGCATTAAACGAGATGTGTACATACACAAAGAAATTATGATACACCATTGACAAACTGTCCTTGCTTTGTACGCCCCCCCTTCTCTATTTTTAACATATTCCTAACTGGGAAACAAAAATAATCAGAGAAAAACACAAAAGAATAATTTCATTTTTTATTATTATTTTTCCCCCCAAAAGCTCGCACTCGCCATCACACCAAGTACATATCACTTGTTACCACAGTCCCATTCTATTTCTGCTTTTTCATCTCAACATTAAAGCACTTGTGGTATAACAATTTGAAAAAAGAGAAAAAAAACCCTTGCATTTTAATTGAATTATAACTGAATTAAAGTGCACTCTCAGGGAAACAAATATAGTGGTATTAACCTAAATATTTTGTGTACTAATTCATTCCAAGTTTGCATATCTGCAGAAAAGTCGAGACATGTTCTGTGCACTTGGTATCTGTAGCCGCTGTTGCATTTCAGATGTCAAAGCCTGTGTGAAACCTGGTGAGCCCCCTGGAATGAGAAGCCCTGCAACTGCAGATCGTCTGACCTACTTTTATTCTTTCCCACATATTTAGTACTCCTCTTCGAGATCGTCATCCAGGTCCGAAAACTCGATGGACGGTCTGTTGTCTCGCACCTCCTCGTCACTTTCTCCATGGGGAACTGCAATCCACAGACATCAAGTCAAATTAGGTAGCCACAAAAGATCCCTCATGCATTTGTCAACACAAAGCTGGTAGCTTTAGAGAAAAACAATCGGACAAAAGCTTGTTTGCGACAAAAGGGAAGAGCAACATACTTTCAAGATTGTCCATGTGTTCATGAAGAATTCTCACCAGGTTGAATAACTAGGTGAGAAAAGGAAGATGTGTCTCTTTTCAAGATTTCAAGTCAGCCACAATTCATCGCTTCAACATTTTTGAAATTGTGCAAGTGTTTTTGCTCAACTACACACAGCGAATGGGCAAACTCAATGTGCGGCTCAAATTCAAGAAAACATTTGTGAACCCTGTGAACTTTCATTGGTTATCTGGATGGCCATCAAAAGATAAGTGAGGAGTGGGTATCAAGTAAAAGATCACACCAAAGATTACATTCATTATCAAAATGTGGAAAATACTTAAGGCTACCAACAAAACACCCATTTATGTGTCTGGTTTTTTGTAAGTTCATAGTAGCATCTAATCAGCTTCTCCCATAGTCTAGCCAAAGCCGTTATACGCACAGATGAAATTAATGTTAAACTTGGCATCACTGTGTTTGGCCCATCACAACAAATGCTCATCCTAACTGAAGCACAGTGAAGGGAGAGTCTTGTTTTGGGACTGCTTCTGTGAATCAGGGACCAGATGCTTTAAAAATCATTGTGTGAGATTAGTCTGGATGAATTTGTGTTTGTCTATGACTGACTCAGATGACAGCAGCATGTTTTCTTTGATTAAAATCACAGCAGAAATCCTCACAGGTTCACAAGCATTTTCTTACAGCTGTGCTCTAACAGAATTGGACAATAAATGAGTCTTTCCGCATTCAGGCTAATAAACACCACAGGTGAATTTGTTTGGTTTCTCACCCCAGCTGTATCGACCGCTCCGAGGACATCTGAGAACCTTTGCTCACAGAAATGTAGCAGGACCACTAGGTAGAGACCGCTACTGATGAACTCGTCATATTCAGACTGCAGAGCATGAAAAACACTTGTAAGGACGTTTTCCCGGCATACTGAAATAGGTAAACCCAAGAGCAGCTTCAATGCTGCTTGTCTGTGTTTAATCCAACATAGTTCAACTTTGTTCAGATCCAACAGCAGCAAACATCATAACAGAGGAATCACTTCAATTACATCAGCACTCATTGTGCTTTGTGGGGGGGGTTTAAACTTGGTACAATGACATGTTTTAAATCCACTCAAATTAAAAAGGGCAGAGAACCCCTTGATTATGTTATTAATAAATTTGCATAATTAATAAAATCAGCCACAGTAAATGAAAACTGCTTCTTTATTCATTTTAATTAGAGCTTTTGGGTTTGGAAATTCTGATTTTTTTTTTCTCCAAGTGAGGTGAAATGACTCACTTGCACATGCGTCCTGTACAGCTCCTGAATGTCGAAGTTATCAATGTTCAAACGCAGCTTCTCCTTACAGAGTTCACACGTTGTGATGCCTTCAAGGTTTGCACCTGAGCAGGAAGGAAAAAACAAAAGAAAAGACAGAAAGAAGTAGTAATTATGAGACACTATTTTTCATAAAAGCTGCACCCATATGAGAAGCCTGTGATTACCTGAGCCAATTTTGGAAAGAAGCCACCTCTTGATGCATTCCTGGTGGACATATTGCAGACTGCCCGTACAGCGGCACGGCTGAATCAGAGGGTTGGATGAAGATTCCTCCCCCATCTGGCAGATTCGGCACAGATCACCTTCTTCCTCGTCAGAATCCTCCAGCAACAGTCTAAACAGGAAACAGGGCATTCAGATCTACTCGATACAATGTATAACTTATTTTTTCTGTTTTACATAGTGAATTAATTAGCACAGAGCTGCTGATAAACACCTTGAGAAAATAGAGCTGTGTTAAAGATCTGACACTGATCACTACAAAATAAGTGAGATCAGTCCTGCGCAGACAGATCAAAAGCCATTACCTTTCTTTGATCTTGCGCAGCTTCTCTTGATCCCTACTGGAAATGTTCTTCTCTTTCTGGTCGTCAGACTGGCTCTCAGCCCCACCCAGAGGACCCACAGAAACGGAAATGTTTTCATACACCCTGACTCTACGGCGTGGTGAAATTTCAACTGAGGCATCTTCGAGTTCAGGTGATGTTTCATTCTCCATTGTATAAGTACGCCCAGCACCAAAGGCCTCTAAACCAACTGCTCCTTCCTCTTCTTCATTCTCTTCTTCATCCTCTTCATTATCATCTTCTCCATCATCCTGTGAGGTTTTAAGCTCAAGATCATCCCACCTTCTCAGTAAACGCTGAGGCCGTCTGTAACCTTCTTCTGAGGCCACAGTCGACTGCGTGCTTTCATCCCTGGCATGCCTTCTGAGGCGAGAGAGGAGAGGAGGACAGCGGCCTCGGAAGGAGGAAGAAAGCCAGGAGGAGCCGCTGCCGCCTCCATTGCTGACACCAGGCTCTCTCCACGACGCCATTCGTGGTCGAGGCAGGCCACTGTGATAGTCACCGCAATTGCTTTCCTGGATAGAGCTGAGATCTGCTCTGTTTTTCCTGAGGCTACCCATGATTGACCTTCCAGTGTCAGGGTCCACACTAGACATCCTGGTTCCTTCATCGCTGTCCACCGACTCCCCACCAGTTGATGGGCTGTCGTCATCAACTGAACGAACACTGGAAGATCCGCTTGAAGAGTCCTGGCTGGAACGCCGTGAAAAGAGACGGGACAAAAGGCGGCGTGTAGAGCGACGGCCCTCCGGTTCAGCGGCTTCAGGGATCGGCCTCGGCAGCACGGGCTCTGGTCTGGGCACGGGAGTGGCATACCAGGGGGCGTTGGAGGAATAAGAGGAGGAGGTATGAGAGGAGGATTCGGGCCTTTCCGTTTGTTCCTGAGATGAGTTGAGGGTTGATGAGCCATTCGAAAAACGGGTTGCACTTCTGTTCCTGAAGTTATGCACCTGAGGAGAGGTCCCGTGAGAAGAGGAGAAGTGGTGATTCAAGTGGGAGCTTTCTCGAGTGGAAGAGGACGATGAGGGAGAGTAGGAAGTTTCTTTAGGACGAGCTCCCTGTGCATATGTGGAGGTCACCCGGTCTGTGTGATCTGAAACAAGGGTAAAGAAGAGTAGTGTGTGTAAGACTGGTGCCTAGTCGACAGGGTATTATGTGTTCAAATTATCCAAAAGAAAGAAAAACGAAGCCTACATAATGAGGAAACAAATCCAGGCGTCCTAACTCTTCTTTCTCCCAAACCTGAGAGACTGGGCTCATTCTTTGTCTCTTGGTCTCTTCTGGACAATAAAGGATTGGAAGATGAAGAGGATGAAGAGGATGATGACGATGATGACCGTGAGAGTAATCGGCATGAGCTCCACGAAGAATCAAGAGAGTCATTTGGTTTTTCTCCTATACATTTTAAGAAAGAGGGTATACAAATGTTCCAAATCAAATTAATGCTGATGGGAAGTAGAATTTAATCAATTCCCCCTGAATGCAACGTTTCTTTTATTTCACATTTGTTTTTCCTATTCGCTATCCTGATGCCAGGTTCTTTTTTACTTCATAGCCTTTGTATTACTTTCAGCTGATAATGAGGAAACAGCACCGTGAACTGCTATAACGTACCTCTGCCACTGCTAAGCCCATTACTGGAGTAGGTGGATCCTGTAACTGAACTGCTGGCCATTCTTGAGTAAATTCCTCTGTTGGTGCTTGACAGTTTGGCCCTTTTAGAGTCACCATCGTCAACGGCATTCAACATACCCGAGCGCATCCCAAACCTTGCCTCAGAGTCAGTCTGGAAATAATGAAGGCAGACATCAGAGAATAAAATACTTCAATAGCATTCACCAGTCCTCTACCTTGCAGTCTTTCAGAAAATACATTTAACCAGGCTGCTTTTTTGTGCCTGCTGTTAGAAAATGGCACAGAACATCATCAGTACCAGTTTGCTCCTGCTGCTGAGAGAGGAATCGGCCCAGTGGCAATCATACGATCTGCTGGACGATGTCAGAGAGGGCAACTTCCAGCTACTGGAGCGACTGTCAGAGTTACTGTAGTCTCTTGTCGAGCTCAGGAGACGAGAACTCTTTGAAAGGAGACAAGGTAAATAACTTTAGCATTAGCTAGTGTCTGCGCATTGTTTTGATGAGTGGTTCGCAACTTGTGCTCTAGCAGCACAAACATATATGTTACATATGTGTTGTATCTAAAGGTTAATCCCTGATTTAGATATTGGTGGGAAATCTATGTCAAAACCATAAACCCCTTCTAACTCGACACCGCAACCTTCCATCCCATTTAGCTGTGTTGGCAGTGTTGACCCTACGTTTAGTCGAATGTTTTAACTAATGCATGATACTATAAATTTTTAGACTTAAGTTGTAACGGCCGCCGTTTTCTTTGTGAGTGCGGGGAAAAGCCTGTTCTACCGTTTGAGTCTAAGGTTTATTTTTTAGCACCTGACAGCTCTTTTTTGCTTCTCATCCATAAATACTCTGCATACTCTTTCATGTGATTCAGTTTATTCTGAAGAGTCTCAACAGGATCTTGAGCTTTATTGTGAAAGG